TCCTGCTGACAAGATATTTGACCAATAAATTAATGTAACTGGTAAAGAAACAATAATACCAAGTAGCTCCAAAATAAACTTGAAAGAAAACACTAGCTCATTACTTACCAAAAGGCCTCCACCTAGAATGCCATGAAGGCACTCCACATATTTGCCGAGATGATGCTCTGAAGCAAATCTTGTTTCACCATTCGGAAAATAAAGTAAAATGTTGGCCACGATGCTGAGCAAGGCAAGGATGAGCAACTTATAACCAATACATCTAGCACACCTTCCAAAACACATGTCCTCAGCTTTACAAATCCTTCTGTCACTAGTCCAATCCAACCTATCTCATACCTGTCCACATCTAAAAGAAGATCCACCTCTATTCTCACCTCCTTAAATACTCAGAGGTTACCTACCTACCTGGATGACGTTTACACCTCTTCATAAGTACCATTCCCAATTGCAGTGAGGGAAGAGGGATGGCAGAATGCCACCACCCTTTTTAAATGCAATAATTGTTGTCAAACCAGATGCAATCAAGGAAATATTGAATAATAGCTAATTTCACTCTAATATATGATGCTTGGAATGATCACCAGTGAACATGATTAAACATGAACACACTTAAACCACAACACAAGTTCTGTTAGGAACTGAAGGAAAAAGATTTTGTTTTTGTTAGAAGCTGCTTTGACTTTTAGGTTTATAGACTGATTCAGAACAACCTGAAGCCAGGGAAAGGCTCAGATGACTTCATCAGTATTGAGTCAGAGTTTTGGGTATAAATAGAATAAGGTCTACAGCAATGAGGAGTATGTAGAGCAACATCTCACTTTGCTATCCTGTTGATGGAATAAGAGTGGACCTCATCGGAAGGTTGGAAAACAAATAAAATGGACAGGTAGGCTTCTAAGGAATGTCCTTGTTCTTGCCATTGTAAGACAAGCTGAATTTAGATTAACAGCCATTTGTTAAAGCTAAACCAAACAAACACTGGTGAAAAATAGTGTGTCAAGAGGACCATAAAATACAGTCCTTGCATTGAAATTTCATGTATAGAAACATAAAAAAAACCCCAGAGATAAATATATTGTATCAGGTTTTCCCAAACTGTTACATGTACCAGTAAAATTAATTTGTATAGTAAATGGAGATATAAAGTGACATGGAAAAATTAAGATCTAGCCTTCTCTCTTTTCCCTCATGCAAATGTTGCTCAAATAGCTAAAAGCTTCCTTCTTCACATACATATTGCTCAGCACAGACTCATGAGCTGTCATGCTTGCTCCTATCACAGGAGGGGAGATAACTAAGACATGCACAGGCCCAGACTAGGTTTGGGAGGTGCTGCTGCCACCGTCATCACAATACAATCTAATTTTCATTGCAAAACCAGTATCTAGACAGAGTTTGGGATTGTACAGAATATTAGGAGACTGTAGTGAGACTTCTTCAATTATTTAGGGTGAAAAATACTAATTCAGGTTTTTTGGTTTGTGTGCGTGTATATTTTTTTAACAGCTAAATAACACTGTAAACAGAAGTCCAGATCAAATCCATGGTATTCTTGCAAATGATGCGAGCAACACTTCAGCTGAGAGAGTGAGCACATGCAAAAACCAAAGGGGGGTGAGGGGAAGAGAGCAGTCTTGTGCAGATGTAGTTTTGTGATGTAACTTCTCCGGGTATTGTAGCTGTTGACCTTGGAGACTTCCTTCATTATGACAAATATCCTCCAATTGTAGAAACATAGGCTTACCATTATTGTGCACTTCACCTCTGATGACTAAACCAAGCATAAACATCATCCTGCAAATTTCCTCTGCAGGAGGAGACGGCTACTCAACTGAAAACTCCCTTTATTGTGTTATGCTAAAAAACCCAAACCACTCCCCCCCAAAAAATACCACCCAACACCCTCCCTTCCCACAACCACCACACCATACATATGGCCACTGGGAAGCAGATTTAAAATCTGGTCTATTTGTAACCTGTATAATTGTTCTCCAAACACTTGATCTGAAATAAAATTTCACATAATCAAAAACTTCCTACATTTAAAATAAATTCTGTACATTATCAGTCACATGGGGCATTGCACAGGCATTGCAGTCTGCAGTTACTAACACACATGCCCCCCCTCCCCCCCCAAGAATATAATAGTAGTTCAGATCACTCTCCTATATAATCACATGGATTACAAAAGTCTTGAGCTTATTTATTCCTCATGCCTGTTTGCTTCATAAATACTGATTTTACTGCTTGGCAAAGTGAGCAGTGGTGGATTTTTGGAACGCATCGTGGGCAATGATGAAACCGACCCCCACGTGAGCAGTAGCCAAACACAAGCTTCTCATCAACCTGAGGAACAGCAGGGCCCAAACTGCAGCTTGTGACGTGCTCTAGCACCATGAAATGGCAGAGTTCACACTAGTGTAAACAAAACCAGAATCAGGTTTTGAGCCTTTTATACAAGAACCCCAGTGTTTGCACTTAAAGAGGTAAGATAATTGCTTACTCGCTCACAGGTGCTTCCCCACAGCCCATGGGAAGCTCTGCTGTTTCTCTCTCACAGGACTATTCCTGAAGCTCTGATGCCTGTGGTGGACAAAGAACACATATTAAAAAGCAATCAATCACCCAGTGTTATTAGAGACAATAAAAGTCTAATTCTAGGCTACAGCCTAACTTTAGACTGTACGTCTAGTCCTCAGCTCTGGCTGAGAAGCACCTACTGCACGTGGTACAGGAGGACAAGACAATCAAAGGCGCAGTGAAGCAATTTCGATAGCACACTCTAAAGTCCAGCAGGTAGGACCATGGTGAAAGACTTCCATAACCTCTCCTGGCAGAAGGGGGCTGGTTTATAAACAATTGCAGCAATTGGCTTGTACTCCCAAATCATCAGTTCTGCAGGATAAAGTCTGTCAGCAGAGCAGTGCTACATGGAGCAGGACACTGACCTTTCATGCCAGAGAAGTGGCTAAAATTAGGTGCTTTGTCCAGTTACTGAGGTATCTAATACAAGCCTAATTTCACATGGGGTGCAAGGATGCACCCCCTATATAAAACAAAGACCCCCCACCTCAACAGTTATTGTTGCTTTTGTTCTTCTATCACAGCAGGAGGCCAGAAGCCTGCTTCCTTCACAAAATCAAGATGTTAGAGACTAGTATTTCATGATTCCAAAAAGCGGAAGATCTCATAACTAGAAGAAGTCTCTACATTCAAGCTCTGAAAAGTTGAGCATTCGTCAGCTTTCTGTACATGCTCCTCAACCAGCATGACAGGAGTAACAAAAATTACTTTCTCCAGATGAGTGGTGTATTGAAAACCCTTGCTATATTTTTGGACAAGTCCTAAGCTTACCTATTGTAAAGAGGAGAACTTTATCAAAGGCCAAAGTTACCACACCTTGCAAAGTTACCCAATACTTGCAGAGAGGGAACCAAAAAACCACAAAGCTACAGAATTTTATCAAGAAAGAGAAAAACATGAAGTATCACATTTCTCCTACAAAAGCAAATTACTTCAACTACAAACACATCTAGCACCTCTGCCCTAAGCCAGATTCCCAAAGTGGTTCATCATAATCAACGGAAGAAACTAAGTTCCAATGGCAAAAAAAAAAAGCGCCACACAAAAAAAGGAGATCTCTGGACTCCACTAATATATTTTAATGCCCACAGTAATCCTGGAAACACCCACATCCTTATATTAAAAAGGAAATCAAAGGGGCCGGGGGGAAAGGATATCTTCAAAATAAACACAGAAGTGGTCAGACAGACCCACACCCATCACATCAGTATCAGCATGCTATCAAGGACAGGGTCATGCAGACTAGACTCAGTTTCCCTGACTGGCCGCTGGGCACACTACCATATTTGAACTTGTTGTACGTGTAAGGATCCTGTACTCTGAGGATGCCACAGAACCCTCTTTCCTTAGCTCTCTGGCACAGAGTCAGGGCAGTCTGGCTACTATCCCCTTCATGGAAATGAGATTTTTATAGATCAGCTATCCCAAATCCCCAATGTTAATCTTGCTAATCCTGCCTAAACTGAACATTGCTTTTTTTTACTATTTTATCACCTAAAAAGGTTCTCATTCCTTATAACCAAAGGATAAAACACTTGCAATATGTTTCTGCCATCAGTGTTTCTGAACAAATATAAACAAACTCCTGATTTAAAGATGCCAGAAAGATGGAAAGAAAGATGTTGCTCTACTGAAAAGCATAACATGTTTCTTCCCAATAGTTTCTTCTAATGCTCCAAATGGTCAGTCCTACTGCTTTACCCTGCCTTATAGCCACCCCTAGATATAGTTTGCTAAAAGACACAATAGTGATCAAGACACAGCTGAAACAGATACATGACAAATGTCTTCCAAGTACCTTGAAAAGAATCTAAAGAAAAGAGCCAAAAAGTCTTGAAGAAAATAAGAATTTTTTACATTATAAAAACTGTTCAGATGTGAATCAACTGGGCTTTACTAATATCATTGACATTTGGGCACCCCATGCTACAACTTCTACCAGAGATTTTTCTCATTATAACTTTTCTTGCAAAACTTCTGGTCCCACCCACAATCAGCAAAAGGTTAATGGGAGGGAAGTACCTCTTGTGGAAGCACGGGCAGGGTGTGGTAACTGCATGACATCTATAGGTGAGACATGGCCTTGGAAATAATAGCATGGGCTGCACGGATGCATTTGGAAAGACTAGGCAACACAATGCATGTGTATCAACACAGGTTATGAACTCACACTTGTATTCCCTTATAAGCTATTCTCATTTGTTCCTCTCTTACTGTTTAGTAGGTTACTGCTCACAGGGGAAAACACTAGTTCAGACAACTGCTGGGAATGTATGATGAATATGCAGTTACCTGTTAGCTAAACTAAGGGAAGCCTCTTGGCCAGCTGTTCAGACAGAGCTCCCAGTGACCTTAGGAACACCGACGACTTCCTTTTAATCAAATGGAGAAACACCTGTCCATGCTGCCATCCATTTCTGAATGTCCAAGTGATGCATTTCTCATGTTTTCCAGCCATCATCCACAAAACCACTACGCTGTAGCCGTAATTTTCCTCAGACCACCTCACAAGCACATGTCAATCAGCAAGCTCCACCTAGACAGTCACAAGAGGAAACTGCTCCCCTGAAGTCCTTGGTGTCCATGGTCTCCTGGCCATAGCCAGAAGAAAGTTTCCAGATTACCTTTATTAATTACATGACAGCTCTTCGGATGAGCTAATGAGCTATTTCTGAGGAGGAGCAACCACCTGTTGCCATGAGACATATCACTGAACATAAAAGCAATCACTCCTGACATAGCTATAACACACATGCAT